ACTTATTAAAACAACACATGGTATCCTTATTGCCTCTTTTCGTGTCGTTTGTAAAGTAGCACTATCATAATATCACAAGACCTTTCAAGCAACCCTGCATTACACAACGAGTTGCAAAAGTACACACTGTGGTGTGTGTAGGTGAACCACTGAGAGTAAATGTACAGCTGCTCTTCTTGTAGGTGTTGCTGTGTGAACAATGCGTGAGCGATGTCTGATGTTGAGGCCACATACGCAGACTTCATCGCTTCTGGCAGGACGGGCCGGAGGAACGCCTTGCATGACATCCTGCAGAGTCCCACCGACCCTGAGGGAAGAGAGATGCCCCTCACCCTGTCTCTGTCCCAGCTGCACATCAACGCAGGAGGAGGAGGTAATACGCTGCACTGATTTGTTTGGGGTGTACCACCCCTGGGATCGGAATCAGAATTTAACTGTCTGGTCGCACAAAATCCTGTATATAAATTCCACTCTGTTTTATTTATATAGGGCCAATTTACAACAAGGTAAAGATGCTACTGTACTACTACTGTAATCAAACAATCCTCTGTGAGCAAACACTTGGCGACAGTGCGAAGAAAGAAGTTCTTTTAAACAGGAAGAGACCTGGCAGAATCAGGTTCAGGGAGGAGAAGCCATCTACCATCTACGCAGGAGTTTGAGATGGTTATCAGAATAATTTTTATTTGGCCTAGTTTGTGCACATAAACAAGGAATTTGACTCTGGTTCACTTTAGTCTCTGTATCCAAAATTTTTTTTAAATAGGCAATAGATAAATAGGCATATATCTATATATACAAGGAGAACATGCATATGAGGACATGATTAAAAAAAGTAAGGAAAATAGAAGTTACAGAACATCTTAAGAACTTATACAAACTATAACAAATTTAACACCTTTCAATTTCAACGGAAAGCTGAAAAGTAATGCTGCCTTAACACATCTAAAGCCATGCACCATCCGGAGGAAGTCCAGAGGATCTGAAAAGGTAATGCTTAGTCTTCACTGTGAAAATGAGAGCCAAACTTCTGAGGTGGTCTGTACCAAATAACAAACCATAATAGTGATCAGATAAATGCTCCAAAAGGATACAACAACACACACAGTGAGGAGGTCCAGTCTAAGGACTCAGAGCAGTGGACGTGTCCTAGCAGGCAGCGATCAGCTGCAGCTGCCTGTGTTGGGGCACAATGCCCCTAACTCAGTTATGCAGGTGGATGAGTTATAAAATATGGGAAAACTACACATGGAGATCAAAGCTGTCTTTGAGTGTACTCACTTTTAGAGTCAACCTCATCTAGTGCCACCTGGAGGAACTGCAGTTTTTGCCACTCCCTTGTTGGCTTCATTTTTCAGCTCTGGAGGGTGCTCCTTGCACCGACCTACACTAAAAACTTTAAAATCATTCTTTTTGTACTTTAACTAACCCAAACAAAGGTAGAAATGAGCCCTGCTATACTTCCTACCACCAGGAGAAGTAATTATCTTTTGGTTATATAAAGAGGGTGAGGACAAATGAAGTGGTTGTTCCAGTTGAAGAACACATCTAGCAGAAGAGATAAGTTATTGCAAACAGTGGATGTTATGGTGTATTTTACTTTCTTTTTTTTTTTTTTTAAAGCAACAATTACACAGCTGATAGCATCCAGAAAGTTTTTAATGTGGTGTTCTAACCTGCTTTCTTTTTTTTCTTTTTGTAGATGGAGACGACACTGAGGACAGCCAGAGCTCCTCCTCTTCGGCTCAGAGGGAGGCGGAGCAGAGGAACAGCTAACCTGCAGCACACTCCAGCCCGCAGACAGAGATTTGCAGGATGGAGTGAGGCTCCCACCATGATGAACCTGTTTGTCCAAAGTGGGCTGGTGGCTGGAGGGTAGTACCGTCACTGCTGATATGCCTTCAAGCAGGGCACAGTCTTCCAAATTCAACTCGAGAAGTGCTGTAATGTGAACACCCAGTGTGGCTCTGCTGTGCACTAGAATAACAGATTGATTGCAGGGTGCTTTTCAGAATCGGGGGTAAGCAGAGAGGCCAATTTGTAGCTCTTGTAAAGCTAATTTTATTTTCAGTCTTAGTTACTAAACAATATAGGTTGGGGGACTGAAATACAGGAAGAAAATAGACGTGGCTCCTTTGTGAGTTTTATAGTAGTTGAAGCAATTTGTAAGACCACTGACATGTGCTGAAGTAATGGCTCACAGTGGGAGTAGCATGTCTGTAGAAGTAGTGGTGCTGATAGATTGTACTGCCAGTTAATGGCTTTATGCTAACGCTAAGTTGATAATATTGCAGAGGAAAATGGATTGGGCTGAAGTAAACCTGAGAGGACGATGCTGCGGTTTGACTTCTTGTTTATATGCTGAAGAGTGTGTTCACTGTTCTGTACTGTAGAAAGCAGCAGGATGCAACAGAGCAGTAGCCTTGTGGTCTGTTGACACCAATATTACTTAATATTGCACTTTCACTCAGTTTAAATGTCAGTCGCTCAGTGATTAAAGATTGATGATATACATATTTAAAAAAAATGTTTATACTTACAAAAGGGTTTTTTGTTTTTTTTAACAATTTCATTATCACGACCTTTGAGGAATGGTTTGACATTTTTGTAAATGCATTTCTTCACTTTCTTGCTAATGAAATGATAAAATGTATATGTGCTATATAATGCATGTAGCTAGAGTTTGTCTTAATAGCCACCAGGGGGCAATAGATGTGGTTGCAAGATCTCAATCTGATGTCTCTGTGCTGTGTTGTATGTACATCATAATAATATTGTTGGTCCAGGATTAACATAGCAACTGAGCATTCAGTTAGCACTAGCTAAGAAGCTAGTGAATGCTGTTAAAAACTGTCACTAGTAAACCACGAGTCATTTGGCTAACAACAAACCTAACTTGATAATACAGTTATTATTATTATTATTTAATATATTATATATATATATATTATTTAATATATGGTATTAAATCATAAGTAAAGCACTTGAAAATTTTACGATTTGATCCAAAAGTTGTTTTTTTTCTTGACATTTTAAAGCTATGACATCACAAGAACATGACTGGTCAGTTGCAATGTTGATCCCAGATGATGCAGGAACAACACCGACACGAAGTTATGAGATACCCCTGTTCCAAGACGATTTCTAGTCCTATTGAGGTCTAAGGGGAAATGACCCCCAGACATGGCCTCTAAAAACTTTCCTGCTGTGTTTATGGGCTCAGCCCCTCATATCAGGTCATACCAGATAAAACACTGAGTCAGTTTTGTAAATTATGGTCATTTTAAGTCTCGGAAGGATTATTAGGATCTACTCATTGACTAATAACTCGTTAACCACTGAGTGTTTGCTTTCACACTGACATCCAATCCTCTCTCTTAACCTCCAGTTTCAAAAGACCAAGACAGTGATGACAGAAATGCTTAAAGTAGGAATTCAGACACATATGGGTGATGTTGTCTGGTCTATGGTTAGCGCTGAGGTGGCCTGCAGATGGACATATTGACTAATATGAAGTAAACAAATGAATTAGATAACAGAAACGTCCTTACAGGTTACAATTAAAAGATTAGCATAAAAAAAATTCACCCAAATCTTACATTTTGCTAACTGTCTGATATGCACGTTTACACAGGCCACTGATAAAACCTGTTGCATTTGAATCACGTTAAAATAGTCTAATGTAATATCATATATGGCATTGATGAGCTGTTTTGTCACATAATGTTGCTTGGATCAGAGCTGTTGGCTTCACATTATAATACACTGGCCCCACATTACCTTCACTTTTTAGCGTGCAGGGGGATGAGAGGTGACGTGACCTCCAGGGAGTGCGTAACCAACTCTATGAGATAATTAAGGATTCTAAAAATCATAAATCTTGCAACACTACTCTAGTGTACTAGTGAGCTGCAAATTAGCATAATAAACACTCTTTATACTTGACAGCTAAGCTAATTATCTGCAGGCTCCAGCTACATTGTTAAGAGATTGATCTTGTCATCTGTCATCAGTTCACTAAGAAAGTGCATTGCCCAAAATGTCAAACTGTTCCTTAAATGTAGATATGCAATACACCGCGGAGCTTCCAGGATTTATAACATTGTTTGTTTGTTTGTTTTCTGACACTGAGCCTGAGCTATGTTCCTGCTACTGTGTGTAATAGCTAGCTGATGTTATCATCTGTACAGACCACCACGCATGCACAAAACTCTGTGTTGTCATTTTCTTCACCATTTTTGCGAACTATAACCTTCCTGTAATCCTCCAGCTTGACAGTAAGTCAATCATACTGAAGATAATGTAGCTATAAATGTTTATTTTGTAATCCTCACTCAATCAGGTGTTTAGATTGTAAACTGCCATGTAACTGTTTCGGGGCTCACTCTGGTTTCAAAGTAGACTGTGTAAATGCAGCTGTTCAGCATGTTGGATTTTGGCAGGTGCATGATTCTGTGAAATTTGTAGCTGTTTGTCTGAATGTGCATAACCGTATTTTCTACTCTCCGTGTCAAACAAAGTGAAATAAACTGGACAAGAGGAAAAATGCAAGTCTTCTGTGCTGCTGTACGCCTGCGGTTTGACCAGCAGGTAGCACTGTGGGAGAATTTATGAAACGTGCATTAGACTTCAACTGTGAACAACTAATGTATATATATATATGTGTATAGAATGACTTATTCAATTATTGTTTTTTCTAAAAAGGACATGAGAGGAATTTTTAAAAATATTTTTTAAGAGGATTAGATTAAATTAAAGGGATTCTATGACACACTGGAAAATTCTCCCCCACTTCAGGTTAAACATATAGTATTTCCATACGTGTAGCGCTGAAAGGCCATCTGTCTGCTGTGTCTTTCAGTCTCTTTCACTCTGTGTGTGTGTGTGTGTGTGTGTGTGTGTGTGTGTGTGTGTGCGCAGTGCTGATTATGCAAATAATCATTAGACAATTGTACCAGGAAGTTTCACTAAGAAAGAAAAATCCCCAACCAGTTCCTCATTCACTCATTGGTATAACAGTCCAGGTCGGCCAGCTGACCCACTTGTCAAACCACCTCAACACCAACGCACTGCATGTGTCACCCACTTCCATGTCAAGCACAGAGAGGACGTAGCTGAGGAGTGAAACGGTTCTACATTTTGGATTAACCGTTTTCTTAACCAAGGATACAGACTGAGACAGGTAAGCTGTAATGTCCAAGTGACATCAGGCAGACGCATGCTTGGTTTACACAGACGCATTAGGAGAGGTAAAAGTGTATGTAACTTTTTTTTATTAGTAGGAAAAAAGTAAATGTAAGAAGTTTTATTAAATTGTTTTTTGTTTTTTTTTGTTCTGTGTTTTTGTGGACGCTTTATTCATTAACCACAATCATGACTCACATTAAGCATAATTAGTTTAAGGAAAATTCTCTACAGTGCAACATGTTTAAAATCAGTGCTTTATTTTCTATTATAAAAGTTTTATTCCTATGGTTTCATGTATGGTATAGCGACGGATTAAACATTAAAATTCACTGCATTTATTGACGTATCCAGACTTTTCCTCAGTCTATTGCAAAAGGAGGAAGTGTGTGTCTGTGTGTGTGTGTGTGTCATAGTCCAATATATCATGCGTGTGTGCCCTTAAGCCTTTCAGACCCCTAGTTTCCGGCTGTTTGCTGACAAGTTAAAAATATAACAGAGGCACTGAACCAACAAAGTGCAAAACAAGCCTGTGCAAACCTGCCAAACCGCTGGCTAATGCATTCACTGACCTTTTTCTACCAAGAAAAATATGGTTTTACCATTTTCTTTACATTTACTCCCTGCCATCTCAGTTCACAAATGTGTTGTAGGCTGGTTTTCAGGTGTGCTTGTTTTGTATTTGCATTAGGTTAATGGTGTGTCCCCCCCCCCTACTCAAACAACTCAATTCAGGCCAGCTAGGTCCAGCAACTTTATTCAGCACTCAGTCTTTCCACATGAATATAAGATATTAACTATTTTTAACGTTATATGGTAGGATAGCTGTGCTTTGCTATCACCGGCAGCCTAGAAGCAACAGAAGTAAATGCTTTTAGCAAGGAGAATGCAAGGTTTTGGTGTTGGTAAAGAAAAACTTTGGTATCAGATCAAATATTTCCAGATGAACCCTATTGTTGGGATTTGTCATATTTTCTTCCCTAAAATGTACTACCTTACTATTACTGATAATAATGTTATCAAGTCAAAATTTCATTTAAGCTGTTTGGCTTGGTCGAAAACCTAATATGCCTCAATATAATAACCTAATAATATTTCTGCCAGCCTAAGCAGTGCTTTCTCCAATTAGCATAAATTAGCATTAGCAAAATCAACATGTTAGCGCCAGTATGAAGAGCATGTTAGCTAGCACTAAAAAAACAAAAAACAAACAAAAAAAACCCAAACAACCCACGCTAATTCATTTTTTGTGGGGGTTTTCTTTCTTGTTTTGTCCTGTTTTATTTCCTGACTTCCCTAACACAATTCATCAAAGAATATCTCATCTCCTTAGAACTTCTGTTCTAGCTTTTTAAAAATTTTAAAAGGCTATTTGCTGACCTACAGGACTAGTTGAACATGTTCCCCTTTTCTCTGCAGTTCAGCTGTGCACTTTAGTTTCCTGGAGAAGGACAGAAGCTTTTTATTTATTTATTTTTCCGTTGTACTTTGAATAACAGATGTTAAAAACCAACGTGCACTTCTGCTCTACAGCAACATGTTTTGTTCTTTTTTTCCCCTTTTTTTCCCTGTAGGGAAGCACTCAAAGTTTATTTGACCTGGTTTAATTTTAGTGCTTTATATTTTTGTGCTTTTAAGCCATATTGCTTGACAATCTAAGTATAAATGGTTTTAAAGGTGGTGTTTCTCACGCTCATAGGAAGTTTAGTTTTAATTTAGACAGTTACTCATATATAAAAATCCTTTTTATGTTCACACATTACCTTTGTAAAATATTTTCATTGTTAAACTCAAGGTACAAATATCACTTTGTTTGTCCTTAAAACTACAATATAGAAATATATATAAAAAAAAATATAAATATAAATATAAAAAAAAAAATGACAAAGGATGAACTGAAGCTCTGCCATCACGTAATGTCGCATACTGCTGTTTCTGATGTCATTTAGAGAAAAAAAAAAAAAAAAAAAAACTACAATATAGGAGATACATACTTTTAATGTTTTTGACTTTTATACATAACACCTCTCTCTCATAAAAACCAACATCACCAGTTAAAAAGATGTTGTTTTTTCTTTGCGACTTTGTCATCTTTGTGGGCATGTGGTCAGTATGTGTGCATGTAGAAAGCAAGTGCACATTGGTGGCGGTGGGCTTCATGCTGGTTAGCTACCCACACAAAAGTCAAAAGAAGAAAAAACAATGCAGCAAACTGCAGCAATACATGTTTGATTTCCCTGAACAGAAACCACCATTGGATAAATTGCAGCCATGTCAGAATACAGGGAAGCAGCAGTGACATTGTGACATATTTTTTTCTAAAGAACTACTTTGAGACATTCACATTTTTATTGAATTTTCGTTGAGTTACAGCAGTAACTCAACAAAGTTACTCAACTCAACAAACGTAGAATTTTTCACCTGAAATATTAGAGTTTGTGTAAGAAGTGCCATGGCTAATGACATTTAGACTACTGGAAACATTGGTTACCATGGTGTTGCTGAAAGTTAGATTAAAAGACTGTTACCAGTTGTAATCTTGTTAAATATATAGCTGAATCGAGCAAGTCATTAGTCTAGCTTAGCATAAGCTTTAATGGTGAAAGAGCTAGCTTGGCTCTGCCAGAAGCTTGAAGGTGGCATTCAAAGCTCACAAATGAAGATATGCATTTTGGACTTATATGTATTTTAAACCCACCCAGGTCTGATATAAATGATACAAAGCGTGTGCTCAGTCCAGAACCTGTGCATGTAAAACCTCATCAGGTCTTGTAAGATGCTAATGCTATGGATATAGAGGCAGAAGTAGCAGAATGTCTCATTCAAGTCTATTTTGGGTACACTGCATCATCAAATCCTCCCTGTTCTGCTTCTCGTTTTTACTGAAAGCTCTTTTCCTGAAAGTGGCAAAGACAGCAGCAGCTTACTTGGTCACTGAAACATCCCTAAAAACAGAGCAAGAAATTAAAATGCAATGTAGACAGAACAATCTGTGTTTTGAGCAAAATGGTGAAAAAAAACACCCATCGTACTGGACATACTTCCCCATATAAATATGATAAAAGTTGGGTTTTTTGTTTACACCTTTTGATGTATGATTGAAAGAGTATTACTCAGCAATGCCTTTGCACCCCTATTATGTTAACAATCCAGTTAGAGGTCGACATCATTATTTTTATATATCTGGTGCTAAGTGGTGCTGCACCTTTCCTGTGACATTCCCATAAGATGTAAATCAGAGTGCAGTATAAAAGTCAGTACAGTCAGTGGTGTGGTGCGGCTGCGAGGGAGGCAGCTGGACAGCATGAGCAATCACGCCACATTCACTTATAGGTCCTGATGTGGTTGGTGTTAGTGTGTGTGACTGCGAACTGCAAAGCTGCAGCTGCGTGCAAGGACAGCAACGGTGATAATAAAGATGCTGAAAAGCATGGAACCGAGGACAGGTCTGCCGTGGAGTTATTACAGTTACATTTGCACATGTGCAGCAGTTTGTTTTTGTGAAACAACTTATTATTATCACTTCTTGTTATCTTCCCCTTTATGTTGAACTTATAAATAACACTGGAAACTTGACACCAGTTTGAATCTTTATTTTCACATGTAAGAACTGAAGAGTCACAGGTGTCTGCTGCCACACTTTATACGCATTGTGTTTTTTCAGCAGGTGTAAATGGTATATTTGTAACAGCTTTTTTCAATCTTTCTTTTTCTCACTTCCTCGTGCAGACAGAATGGGCTGCATGAAATCCACGCTAAATCAAGGTCTGAGCGGAGGTGTGGACCAAAAAATGGGCCAACATGCTGTCCATTCTGAACAGTCACGCTATGTTAGAGACCCCACCTTTAATCCAAAAGTCAACACGGTAAGTAGTAAGACTTGGGTGGACCTTACACTCAATCTCAAGTGTGGTTGAGTGTTAACAGCAACAAAATCGTTAGATAACAAAAAGTCAAATCATAAATGGAAAGCATGCTATTGTTTTCATTCAATCAAAAATTGACTTATAATCGTCATTTGGTTTTTTCATCATTATTGTATTGTATGAAGAACAGAATGATTCAGTTTTCTTTACATCAAAGATATGACCTTTCTTTTTGTTTTTGAAAAAAGTTGCTCAATGTTTCCTGCCTAATAGAATTTCCCATTTGCAAAAGATGACATCTATTACAAGGAAATGACAAAAGTCTGTGCAAAAATCTCTATGTAAATAATGTCTGCCTTAAAATAATGGAAGTAATGATGATAGAATGACACTGTGTAACTTTAATATTGTTTCCTTTTGCAGAATAACTCACTGTTACCGGGTCAGTTGTTCCAAAAAATGGAGGGTACGACCCTTTCTTCCTTGTTCTTTGTTTATTTATCTGCTGTCTGTTCATTGTTTCGTACTACTATACTGTACTTCTGGTAACACCTGTATGTGGTAGCTTCTAAGGTAATAGGGAATTCACTCACCTCAAAGTATGTATAGTGAAACAGTTAGGCCCCAGAAGTCCTCATAGTCATGAAAGACAAAATCTTCATCTTCTTTTGTTAGTTTTTTAACTTTGACCCATTTTGAGATTTCACCGGCAAATTTTGACTGATTCAAGGTTTATTTACTAATTTAGCAAATTCACCAAGAAAATTATTCTAAAGCTAAACTTTAGAATAAATAAACCAGTCAAATATATGAGTATAGGTTAAAATAGAAAGTAATCTTAGTTATGATAGTTTTTATTTAGAAAAGAGATCCTTATAGGAAGGCTAGTCACTACATTTGACCATGTAATTTTCCGCATTATATTAAAACTCTTTTATCTTAGCAATGTACACAAAGGCGTTTAAGTACATCCAACGAAGTTGCAATTTAAACATTAAATTATCATTAGTCATTACTGATTGAGACTACAGCTACTTATAAGTAGGTTGTGTAAACTGATAAGCTAGGTGCATGCCCTATTATTGCTTCTGTCTGACGTTTCTGTACATGTTGTCCCCGTTTCTTTACATAGTTTAAAAATAGAACAACCTTTGTATTGATCTATGAGCCTATTTGCATGTGTTAAATGATGACAATTTTCTCTTTCCTATTTCAGAACAAAAGGGGGTGGGTAAAATAGTGATTGCCCTTTTCCCATATGAAGCTGCACATCCCGATGACTTAGGATTCAAGAAGGGAGAAAAGATGAAAATTCTAGAAGAGTGAGTGTCTGGTATTTATGGTACACTGATTCATTCTCAGAAAATGTGTCATCATTTCTACAAATGGCAAGAATCACTTCCACTGTTATATATAGCCCCCCAGTTTTAGATAGACAAACTGACACCCTTTTACATGTAAAGATTATTTTTTACTATTTGAATAAAAATCCTTTGTAGTCTGGATTTTTAATCAGGGGCTAGAAAGTGAGAGCGTATTTCTCCCATATTGGCTTCTCTTCACTGGCTCTCTGTTTAATGCCGATCTAAAATTCTTCTCCTCACATAGAAAGTGCTGGACGATCAGGTCCTGTCTTATGTTAAAGACCTCGTCGTACCACATCATCCCAGTAAAGCACTTTATTGTGGTTCTTAGAATATTTAAAAGCCTTCAGCTTTCAGGCCCCCTGTCTCCCTGTCCTCTCCCCCAGTCAGTCAGATGGCTTCTCTCTTCACTAACTCAAAAAATTCAAAGCAAAAAATCCCCAAATTTCTTTTTATTCTTTTTAATCATGGCCTGGTTCCTTCCTTCTCTATATTTTGTTTCATCTGTCCAAATTTTGTTTAGCTTTTGTGGCAAGCTTAATCTAGCCCACCAGTGACACTCCCTGAGTGTTCTGAATCCTCTATATTTTCATTTAGAAAGCCATTTCTCAATTGCAGACTATGGCAGTTATACAAATATCCTCACTGCGTGTTCTTCTTGACTTGGTTGTGAAGCTATTTTTCTCAACCATGGGAACAATCTTTTCAGCATGCGCTTAATTTGGGATTTAGCCATTGCTAAAGTTTTGTGCCATCTCTCGGATTGGCTTATTATGTTTTTTCAGACTAATGATGGTCTCCTTCATTTGCAAAGACATCTCTTTTGGCTTCATAGTTGAAATTACAGTGACAAAATATAAAAGTTTAACTTGGTAAATCAATTTCAGGTATTATGTCTTCTTCCTCTGTGATGTCCAGTAACTTTTGAGCCTCTGAAAATGAGGCTGAGGATGTATGAAAATGACTGTAAACTAAACAGTTAATGCAAAATTTTTGTTATAAAAAGATCATATAAGTTTTATAAAAGATTTCTGCAATGTGTGAATGTATTTTAGGCTAAATTACTTGCCCATGAGACAAAATAGCATTTCAGTTCAGAAATAATATTTCTCTGAATATAGGAATTACACTAAGTTAAACGATGGAATTTAATTTTAAAAAATCATCTTTCAAGACCTTTTCAGAACATCTCTGTCAATGCAAATGATTGTTCTAAAATGTATATGAATATTTATGAATTGACAGACATGGTGAGTGGTGGAAAGCGAAGTCTCTGGTAAACGACAAAGAGGGATTCATCCCGTCCAACTATGTGGCCCAAGCTGACACCATGGAGACAGAGGAGTATGTACTTGTTTCCTAATATTACTTCATGTTATTCAGATTACATTATTCATTTTTGCATTCAGCATCAACGTTATGTATGTTACCAAATATTTATTATGTTTTTTGTTCCGTGCAGTTGGTTTTTCAAGGACATCACAAGGAAGGATGCAGAGAGGCAGCTGCTGGCACCAGCGAACAAGCCAGGCGCTTATCTAATCAGAGAAAGTGAAACATCAAAAGGTATGGCTACCATGGTAGCTCTGAGATACCGACATACATTCAGCAGCATTCTCCACTTTGGACACGTGGAGTTGTGACATTGTGTGTGCTTGATTTGAATGATCATGAATCACCAGTCACTCTTTTTTTTTTCTTCATGATTTTTCCACAGGGAGTTACTCGTTGTCCATCAGAGATGTGGACGCCCAGGGAACAGACTCAGTGAAACATTACAAGATCAGGATGCTGGATAATGGCGGCTGCTACATCTCTCCTAAAATCTCCTTTCGGGATATTAGCAGCATGATTAAACACTATCACAGTGAGTACAGTGCAGCCAAAAGTCTGTTTTCACACTAAAACGTTGTATCTGTGAAATATTATTTTATATGGGAAAATAAAAGATTAATTTCTACTGCAAATCCATTTACAGTACTGACTATTTATTACTGCAAATAAAAATAAAGTAATAATAATGTAAATTAAGCAACCTAATAATGCTATAAATGTAAAAAAAAACTGTAAATAAAAAATAATCTATTATTAAAAGTAATACTGAAGTTGTGGAGGAAAAACAGCAACACTGTAGCCACTTTTACAGTAACTTCCTTAACAACCTTTTCACAGGGTAGCGTGCTCATACCTCTTCTAATAAATCTCATATATTCTGTTTGTCCACATAAACAAGTTTTAGAAACATACAAGCTGTGGCCTTATGTAGAATTATGCTTTGTATGTAAATGACTGTATGATTTCTCTGGGTGCTTCCTTTTTGCCTAATAATGTGAAACAAGTGACAAAAAGAGCCAGCTTTGCTCCCTCCACCTGCTTCCTATGTTTGTGCAAAGCAAAGCTAGTTGGTTTCCAGCTTTTGCTCTACACTTGCTGATCAGAGAACAATGTTGATCTTCTCATTACAAAAAGATTACACATGCTATGTTATTGATTAGGAAGACTGAGCACTGTCTGTGTGTGTGCCTTCCAGACAAACCGGATGGCCTGTGCCGTAAACTTGAGCGTCCTTGTGCAAAACCCAAAGCTCAGAAACCTTGGGATAAGGATGCCTGGGAGATATCCAAAGACTCTATTAAGATGGTGAAGAAACTTGGAGCAGGCCAGTTTGGAGAAGTCTGGATGGGTGAGTAGAAATGACTTTTATGTCCAAGAGTTGACAAGGGAAGAAATTGCCAAAGAAAGGGAACGCACAATGATTTTTACCACTCTAGCCCTTCAAATAAAGACCACAACGAGGTCCCTTTAAGATACACGAGAGTATTGTTTCACAAAGAGCACAAGAGGTAGGGCACGTGGCCTTTTATCACTGGTAAATTATTACCTCATGAATTCTATGACATTCCCAGCGTTATTTCCGAGAAGGCAGCCGGCCTGTAAGTGGCAGCTAACACGGATTTGGCACTTGACAAGAGAAAATCAAAGACTGGGAGACAGCAGATAAGTAACAAGGGAGCATATCTTTTTATGAGCTCCTTTATGAAGGAACAAGATTTCTAATTCCCTTCTATCATTTACAGTAAACACAGACGCAGGGAAGTGAGCGGTACAAGGAAGTTCCATTTCCCTCTAATTAAAACAAAAATGACTTCCTACTTTTGTTGTCCATGAGGTACAGGACCGCGCTCTGTTACAAAAAAAACCCCAAACCACGACCGCCTGCATGTCTGCCTCTGCTCAGACCATCTCATTGATGTGTCGATGAGTGCTGTCGTCTGTGGAGGAAATGTTTGAGTCCGCGGGGTGATTTGCGTGTGAGGTTTCAGAGGAATGATCACAAACAAATAGATGCGTATCATTTGTAAAAAGCGCTACCGCAGAGAAGGTTTTATTGCACAGTTTCATGAACAAACCGAAGCTGACTTTGTTTTACGACTTTTAAGTGCTTTTTTCAAAGATTTTTTGTTTTTTGTGGCTTCTGACTTACACAACTGCTTTTTCACTTCGTTAAATATAAGGGGAAGTATGTGAGAACAAGTGTGTTGCCATTTGTGCCGTCTCTGTTAGTGGGAAGTTATGTGATAGTTACGTCAATACTTTGAGGTATAATTTTCACTTCAACGACGACAACTGTGTCTGACATCACTAACAGCATCTTTACAATTAGATTCAAAAAGCTACACGTCATGAATTTATAGAGGTGTATTCACTGTGGTTTGCACTGAGGTCTGGGATAATAGAATAGAATAGAATAGAACAGAATAGAATAGCACTTTATTGTCATTGTACATGTACAACAAAATTATGTAAATAAACCCAAAAACAAGCATGTGCTACCATTACAGAAACTCCGCTGACTAAATTTACCAGTTGGCAGTACATCCATAACTGACTCTGAAACAATAAAACTCTGTGAATTATACACAGAGGGAGTTATAATAAAAGTTCAAACAAGCCACAACTCACCTTACATCTTTGCATTCAAACTGACGTACTGTATGCAGTTTCCACGCTACAATGTGACATTCAATCAACCCATAAATCATATTATTAATATCATTATGTAAGGCAACAACTTTTCCTTTGTTCTTGAACCAAAGTCACAAAAATGAGGTTTTTGTCAGGATCTTATAACTCGAAGGGAACAAAGCTAACACAACCTGACCCAAGGGTGGCCCAAAGGTTCTTTAGAATAGCTCTGCCAACAAGTCATGAATAAATAATGAATGCAATGGAATTTGCACAGCAGTTGCATTCTCTAAAGCAGATATGTTACTGCACCTGCCAGGATCTGAATAAAAGTTATGCAACTTTCAATCTGGGTGACAGATAATATTCACACCTACCTGAATTACCAATAACAGGGTGTTTAACGGATGGAAAGGGTGTCATTCCTGACTTCATAATGACACTGAGTGTTATGAGTAGCAGCAGATTCCAACATTTGTTCCGTGGATTCTTGTTTCCTTTATGCAGTTTTGTGGAATATTCATTTACAGATATGCTGCATTACATCATAACTGAAACCAGCTTAAAATGGAAACAAAAATCCACCTTTACAAACACTGTAACATGCAAACAAATGTGTCCAGTCATGCAAGTGGTCAGCTTTTGACAACATGGCATATTTTTCTCACCTGTCACTGAACGTTAAACAGTAAACACAGTGTTTTCCTTCCCGTTCTTTCCTTTAATTTGCATTTGTTTGGTGTAGTTGTTTCAGTTTCCTCAAAACTGTTTGTGGAAACGTATTTGTTTCCACAGGGAAACATTGAAAACAGTCCAAAGCCATGTAGCAGAGCATATCATGCTTTAAAGTTCTTCTTTCCCCATGCTTACTCTTCACGTTCTCCACTCAGCATACTACAACAACACAACCAAAGTGGCAGTGAAGACGCTGAAGCCGGGAACCATGACAGTTGAAGCTTTTTTGGATGAAGCCAACATGATGAAGACTCTGCAGCACGACAGGCTGGTGCGGCTCTATGCTGTTGTCACCAAGACAGAACCCATCTACATCATCACTGAATTCATGGCAAACGGTAAATGCCAAAAGTCTTTAGAAAAACTAAACTGGTTATTATGAAATTTTGTGGCCTAATCACAGAGTCGACACTCCAGTATAGGCATAGATGCAGACATGCAAAGCACTGACGCTGTTTTCTGTTCTGTCTCGTCTTTAGGGAGCCTGCTAGACTTTTTAAAGAGCGACACAGGATGCAGACTGCAGCTGCCCAAGCTCATTGATTTCTCTGCACAGGTGATTACACCAATATGCTTCTTTGTGACCTCGCTGCTCACTTGTCTCACTACTGTGAACCCTCCATACTTTCACTTTCAAACATGAGGTTGTTCTGTCCCAGCATCACACTGGCAGTGTCCATCCATCCATCCATCCATCCATCCATCCATCCATCCATCCATCCATCCATCCATCCATCCATCCATCCATCCACATAATCTAATAACAGATTGTTATTATTTGCTTGTAATTGCTTGTAACGGGGGTGATTATTTTTCTTTCACATTTCTTCTATTTTATGTAGGTTTTTTTCCCTTTCACTCTTAAGACTACACACCTTCCTCTTGCTCTGTTACAGATAGCAGAGGGCATGGCCTACATTGAGAAGAAGAATTATATTCACAGAGACCTCAGGGCGGCTAATGTCCTGGTGTCTGAGAGCCTGCTTTGTAAAATAGCAGATTTTGGCTTGGCGAGAATCATTGAGGATAACGAGTACTCTGCCAGAGAGGGTAAGTGTGTATGTGTGTATGTATGGGTATGTGTGTTTGCGCATATATGTGTATGTGCGTGTATGTTTGTGTCTATGTGTATGTGTGTGCGTGTGTATGAGAATTTGAACACGTCTCCACTTTTTCTGTGGAAGGGGGCTTTCCCAGCACAAATGAGACACTACCCTGGCTTGATGCTTGTGACATAGTGAAACAAAAAGCCCCTTTTGAGAAGTGGAAGCACCCGCAAAGATTTATGTTGAATCAGACACTTTTTGTTTCATGTACCAGTCACTCCACTTTTGTCTCACTGAAATCACACCACAGTGACCAATACCTCTGATGCCCCCAAACTACACTACCTCCTTTCACACTCCCACAAGGTTAAAATGAAGCAGGGAGTCCTTTTGGTACAGCCAACATTTCCCCATCATTCGATTAGAAAAAATAAATAAATAAAACGTCAAAAATTAAACATAGTTTTAGAACTATTTTCAGTCAAATTTTGGAAAACTGAATTGCCTTTTCATAAAGTTTATACCTACGCAGTATGGTTTTGATTTCACACCTGTAACATGCCACAAACTGGAGGACAGCGGAGGACAGGAACCGAACTAGGAGACTGATGTGTGGGGTTAACCACCATTTCCAAAACACTGACTATTTAGTGATTGTGACATTTCAAACATTTGGAATGAACAGGGTTCATGCTCAAATTGTGTACTTCAGCAATAAAGTCTCAGTCTTAGGCGTGGTCAGGGAGGTGACCGAGAACTGGGCTGCTTCTGCAGCTGAGCTTTAGAAATCGTTTTCATAGATAAGCGGAACCGTATGGCAGAGCAGCTAGACAGAAGCCAGAGTGAGTTAAAGACAGCCCACACCCTGCCTTTTTTCATACAGTGCATTTCAAGAATTACAAAAGGATGAGATAAAGATTCTGTCGTCAGCTGAAACAGAGTGAAGTGTTTAGGCAGCAAAAACAAAAAGTGTGGTAAACAGCAGACATTCTGAAGAAACATCCTGCAGAGTTCAGAAACCTGAGACTTGGATGTCATTTAGCACGGTGATGACCATTTCACTATAGCCAAGACAAGAGTGAAATGGAGTAGAATTTTTGTGGAAAGATGGCAGATGCTTGTCGTGTGCATTGTATTGAGTGAATCCCTTCTAATATAATGAAGAAAGGATTTACCAAAAGAGTCTGTGCAATGTAATCAATGAAACACTGAGGACGTGGAGTTCTTTTTTTATGAAAGGAGAATCAGGCAACAATGCTAACACTCTATCACCATGTCATCGATGACCGCTTTCATTACTTTACTTTTAACTTACATGGTGGGAATTTTTCAAAAACCTGTTTTGGCCTTTTTAATTGTGGGGGGAAAAAATCATTCATAGTTCATATTTTTCAAATTAAAGTAACTGTGCAGTAAAGTGCACGAGGAAGTGTCTGAATGCTATTTCTCAAGTGACTCATGAAACCTTATGAAACCCGTGTGATCACTGGTCTGGACCCAGGATGCTGAAACTATTTGCAATTGACGTTTTGAAATAAATCCAGCTACACAGATAGAATCTAAAACCTCATTTACAAAAACAGAACAGGTGATCTTTGGGATTGTGTGAGGGAATAATAGAATTATAATTTCACAGTGTCTGTTTGTGTGTGCATTCCACAGGAGCCAAATTCCCCATCAAGTGGACTGCTCCAGAGGCTATTAACTATGGCACCTTCACCATCAAATCTGACATGTGGTCATTCGGAGTCCTGCTCTATGAGATTATCACCTACGGGAAAATCCCTTACCCAGGTAAATATTAACCGCAGCACTGTTGATAACTGCTTGTGCATTTTAGTTTTTGGTAAATAAATAATGACATGGTGTCATGCTTTGCTGTTCTTCTGCACTTAAGTTTACCTAACTTTAAGACCTGCTGATAACCAGGTTAGTTTTTATTATGTTTTTTGAACCCTGTAAACACATAGGCATCACAAGCCAATGTTTATTGAGACTCTGGTATATGTTTGTCGAGACTCAGGTCTCTACATGACTGAGTGAAGTGTTTGTGTTGATATTTTTATTGTATTATACTGGTCTGAACTTCATAAACCTCTCCCCTGACACAGCTAACTGTAACCATAACTTTTATGACCCAGCCTCACTGAGCAGTAAGGTGTTATGCTGAGAAAGACTGCCCTCTGCTGGTGACTTTTGTGTTCTACTTCGGGTTGAGAATGTGACTGCGAGTACAAAAAGGTTCTCATTGGAAGCCTTTCCAGCAGTATTTACACTAATTTGGTGTCTGCAGGCATGACTAAAGGAGAGGTGATGTCCTCGATACAGCGTGGCTACAGGATGCCTCGGCCCGACAACTGTCCCACTGAGCTGTACGATATCATGATGTCCTGTTGGAAGAACAGACCTGAAGACAGGCCTACATTTGACTACCTACAGAGTGTCCTGGATGACTTCTACACCGCCACAGAGGGACAGTACCAGCAACAGCCATAGATGGAGACAAAACTGGAGAGACTTTTGGCACATAATGCAAGCAGCTTGTAAATAGCTTTATGTTTGGACCTACTTTGATATGTGATTGTATTTTCTATGTTTATATTCATGTATATATGATACATTCTGCAGTAAGCTGTGTGATATATTTACAGTGGACAAAATATAGTTTGCATGTTCCAGAATATAGTTTACTGCAGATTTTCAGGGTGTGTAAATATGAGGTTTTGTGCAGTTAAGCCTCGGTGATCTGGAGGAATTTTACAGAAGTAAAATTGTATCATATTATTTTTACTTTTGACACTGGATCTTGTTAATAAGTGTTTCAATAATTAGGGTGTTTGTGAGAGTTACTGAACAAACAGCAGGCATTATACAAAGAATTTGTGAAGCAATGATATGTAGGTTAAGAACACACTTTGCACGCAGTGCAAATTTTAAGTGGTGATATTTTGGGTTTACAAGCGATGGGATGAGTTTCTATGAGTTTTTGAGCATTGATTTTTCATAAATTTTATTTACTTTACAAGAAGAAATGGTAAATGAATATACACATTTTTACTCAGCCATACCACTCTCTTCAAAAAGATTTACATGACGATTATGATTACTCTGCATTTTTATTTTGGCATGAGAACTTACTTCGTCACAAGCTGCTCTTACTAAAATTAAAACAACGGTTTTCTTGTTTTTGTTGCTTTCTGTTTCAGAGACTTGTTGATGCCCCACTTCATATTGAAGTGCTCTAGCTCTTGCTTGTTTTTTTCTTCATCACATCATCATTTCCAGTAGGCTTTGTTATTAAAAGGAGATTTATGTTTCTTTTTTTTTTTTTTTAAATAAAGTGCAGTAATTGTTATGCTGTATTGAATGCTTTTGTACAAATGTGAAAAGAGCTTTAATAAATGCAGCAGGTAGCATTGTTTCCTTGGTGGCAAATTTATACACTCTAATGAATTTATAAAATTAGAGATAATTAATATATTCAATTATAATTCAGTTAATTAATTCTATATGTGCTTGTCAAACGTAAGTACTGTACCTCGATAAGTTTTTTTTTCTTTCCTTAAGTAACACAAAGATGAAAAGAAGGAGAATTACTACTACTACTAATGATGATAATAATGATGATGATACAAACTGTACTGAAGTTTAAGGGAACAAAATGTAGATAACGACTAAATATGGAAAACGACTATTATTTTGAAGCGTCATCTCGTTTCCTGCTATGGTCACGTGGTTTTTCAAGATGGCCGCGCCCACAGCGCTGTAGCAGCTGATAGAAGATTGTGTCCATGCGAGCGGGGTTTAAATGACAGTTGAGAAGCAGCAGGTTACAACTGACATCCCCGCAGAGAGACAGAGGAGTTTCTGAAAGGCTGTCCCATCCTCAGCACCGCCAACATGAGCAAGCAAGAAAATCTAATTCTGTGAGTACTTCCTTCTTTGTTTCTCGAAACAAACTGCCGCTTGTTACATTGTTACATTTAAGGTTAGCATTTTGGCTGTTTAGCCGTCTAAAAAGTGACCTTATGAAACCCCCGTTGTCATTGTTATGAAACATTTCTTCCTATTATGGGTCAGTTATAGAAACACAGGCCTCATTCCTTAAAGCTACGTAATCCAATGCCAGAGCGAAGTCGCTTCCTCTTACAAAAAAAAAAAAAACCTCATTCAGAAATCCAGCAGTCTAATCATCTCTTGTTCATATTTAGAGATGAACTTATTTTGCAACATGAATTAGTGCTTTAAGCAAATTCTGTGGATCGTCTGATAAATTCGGCAGAGCTAATAATGTAAAAGTCTTATTAATCTTTTTGGTTTGTTCTATTTAACTAGCTTCAACTCCGAGAAAGCCAGGGTTTCCTAAATGATCCCATACAGAATCCATGACAAACTCTGATAGTGTGTTTTTATAACCCACACGTTTAATTCTTAAGAGTCTAACAGCAGACTTGCATCTTTTAAAGTTAAGTGTAGCAAGCTAAACATAATTGGCTATCTGTGAAATGTTTTTGTGGTCCGTCTAACAGTTTCATGTCAGAGTCTGAATTAGATTAAGGTTGTGATACATTACTGATCCATCCTAAGCACTCCTGTATTTAACTGTCATTTCTCCTGCTGGGAGAAGATAAGAGAGCAGAGGACGGTTATCTCCCAGAATCACTCTATTGGTGAATGCCCTTCAGCTGGATGCCCAGAGTGATTGCAGGGGAAAGGGAAGGGTGGGCCTTTATTTTTAGATAACACAAGTTTGCGGCTGTATTGTAAAGAGGTTATGACACTATCAGCTAAGCTCCATTCCCTCAGCTATGTAATATAAATTGAAATTGCAAGTGTGCTTTGGCCATGCCACAAATATCTTAAAATTCTGTCTAAATTTGTATTATTTTATTTTTATTTTTCGATTCTAACATGAAGTGCTTTCTACCCAGCCCCAAAGACTTTCCTCAGCTAAAGAACGACACATTCCTGAGAGCGGCACGAGGAGAGGAAACCGAACATGTCCCAGTCTGGTGTATGAGACAGGCTGGCAGATATCTACCAGGTACAGGCTTCAGATCAGTTCTTTCGTCTCTTGTTTCTGACATGAATAGTAGCACTGTACTATCAAATGTGCTACACTGATTACCCTTAATATTCGTGATCATGTTTTCAGGTTTCATATTGTAGTATTTCACTTTCTGCATGACCATAAGCATGAGATTCACATCCCTGATAACCACTAACTCCCTGTTATTGAGTCTTAATGCTGATCTGTAGTGGGTTTTTTTTGTTTTGTTTTGTTTTTTTTGTTTGTTTTTTTTTACTCTAATCTGCAGAGTTCCGTGAGTCCAGAGCAGGGAAGGACTTTTTTGAGACATGTCAGTCACCAGAGGCTTGCTGTGAGCTCACTCTGCAGGTACAGACCTGGATTCACAGGGGGGAGAAAAAAAAATCTAATTTCACAGTGTTAACATCAAGTCAGCAACACCATTATGTGGTGTGAGATGATGGAGTGGTTGTTACACCACCCACAGGGTACCAACAAGAATAACTTATCCCAATTTTTTTTTTCTCCCCCCCCACCCCCCACTTCCAGCCTCTGAGACGTTTTCCCTTTGATGCTGCCATAATCTTCTCTGATATCCTAGTTGTCCCACAGGTAAGTCTGTTCAGACCAGGCTCAATTGCTAGCATGTATAAAATGTTTACAGCTAGTCTTTTGCTATATTTTTGCCAGATGTACAGTAAAAGAGGTTTTCTGTAATCAGAAAAATATACATTTTGTGAGTAGAAAATGTGTTTAGGGTTTTGACGTTTATTAATATTTAAATAACCTCTGACATACAGTACAACCAGTGTCTGCTATGCCTTCAGGAATGAGAAGAATTTTCATGTGTGGTAACAAATGGCTATGTATTGATGTAATACATGTATGTGATGTCCACATGTTTTAATTGTTAATTTAACAAATTACCATTAGTCAAGTATTAAGTATTAATTTTTCAGTTTGGTTCAAAACCCCCAACAATCAGATTACCCCCCTATGACCAGCACTTGGCGACAGTGGGAAAGAAAAACTCCCTTTTTTTAACAGAACAAAACTTCCAGCAGAACCAGGCTCAGACTGGTTGGGGGTGAGGGGAGGGTGACTGTACAAAAGACATTCTGTGGAAGAAATAGAGAAACTGTGTTCCTCCACAGTGGACGCAGTGTCTCAAAATGTTTTTGACAAAATAACTCTTTTGATGACACTATTAATTAATTAAATAACAAGATATATTTTTCATCTATTCAGGTGTCCTGAATCTGTTTTCCACTCATTCTCTGTACAGCTGTGACCCTCCCTGATCCTTCCTTTATACTCAAAGCCTTCTTCCTGTTAGCTGGGAGTTCTTCCTCCCCACGCTTGCTATTATTTTTTTCTTAGAACATCAGTTAATAGTTGGGTTACCCTCTTTAATATGTCTTACAATATAAAGAGCCTTTGGATGGCTTATGTTGTGAACAGAGATGGGCAGTAACGCGTTACTGTAATCTGATTACTTTTTTCAAGTAACGAGTAAAGTAAGGGATTACTATTGCAAAAACGGTAATTAGATTACCGTTACTTTCCCGTAGGAACACTGCGTTACTAAAACCGTGATTTTTTTTTTTTTTTTTTTTTTTTTTTTTTTTTTTTTTTTTTTTTTAGAAATGACTGAAAGATTAATGGCTCTGTTTTGAGTTTTGTTCAAAAAAGAATGACTTCATATAGGGAAAAATATATATCACATGTGCAGGACACCTTAAACTAGTTTTTTAATTAAGCAGCAAGGCAGAACAAAGTCGGGGCTGTATCAAGACACGAGGACTAAACCCCAATTCAACCAGACCCAGAACTGATCCGGAATTAAAACAGGACTACAACAGTTCAAAATCAGGACTACTGAGGACTTAACCAAGACAGAACCAGAATCAGAACTAGATGATAGTAGCACTAAAAATCATCATAGACCTGCACTACACTTATTTTTTAATTCTACCAAAGTACACTATTTAGATTGAGAAAAGTTTATATAATTATTTAGCCTTGTTGTGCAAACAAGCCTGCATAACTTAATAAATATAGAATTTGAAAAATACAAACCTAAAAAGAAACACTAGGTACGAGATACATGAGTACCTATGATACGGTGATACTTTTGGTAAACAACCATTTGACTAACATGTGTGTCTCACCTGCTCTTGTTCATCTCTGTTCTGTCCTCATTCTCCTCTCTCTCCCTCTCTGTTCCTCTCTCTCCCTCTTTGTGCTGACAATCATCAAATATACAGTTGAAACCAGATATTTACAAACTCTTCAGATCAAAACACAAACACTTTTTTAATTGTAACATCAAATCAGACTAAATGTTTATTTTTTTAGATTGATAAATATAAAAAACATATTTGTTAACTTTAAGAGTAAAGAGAGAAACTATCTGTATTTCTTAATTGTAAATGGCACCAAATTGTATTCAAACTGAGCCACACTTATGGAGCTCCACAGTTCTTTTCCTGGTGTTTTGGTTGACATCTCTTAATTTTCCCATTTCAAAGAAACAGGCTCTGTGTTTTGCCTTATATGCATCCACAGCTGTGCCACCAATTTACTCACATGGACTCTACTAACCTATCAGAAGCTTCTTCAGCTCAGAATGGAATCGTCTGGAGTTTCTTATTAATTAACAATAAACTTAGTGTATATGTACTCCTAAATTTGATGAAAGTGATAAAAATAGACAGATCTCTCTCTCTTTATTCTGACATTTAACTAATTCAAAAGATATTTCAATATTTATCTAAAACAAAAGTTTACTCTAAATTGATGTTGTACAGTAAAAATGTTTTATGTTTTCTCCCTAAAGTGTAAATATCTGGTTACAAATGTGAATATCCTGCTGTGTACTGAAATCCCTCTTGTTTTGCATAGAAATATACTGAACAACATACAAAGCATAATATATAAAATAACATTTACCTGAGTTTTTTCTTTGAAAGAAGCCTCTAATGTCCATTCTTATATTTCAGTACATAACTGAAACCGATTTAGTCGGGGAGGGTAAGAACTGAAAATATGAAATAAACACACGTAAGCTAAGACTCTCTAAAAAAATAGCATTTGTTCGGCTTTTCATTTCGCCATTTGTTGATTCACTTGAAGAGCAAGTAACGTAATATTGGTCAAGTGATCAGTTTGATATCAATCTTTCGTGATTCACCGTCATATTTACATTATTTGTACGGTACGAATGATTTGCTTTGGTACCTGGTCAAACTTAAGCTCTCCTTAGTATGGCTGGCTCCGTTTCTCCAACAGCGCACTCACAGGCGGCAGCTGCCCCGCCCCCTCGCTCAGTCGCTTAGTGCCTGAGCTCGGATCATACCAATATCAGGGGGGATTCACGCACAGTCGTAAATTCCCACAGTGTGCACTATGTGCTTCGAATATTGTGTGTACTTTTTGTTTTATACAGTTGTCAGCCAGGCATCTAACTATGAAAAAATTACACTCCAAAAGACCCCGGGCTTCTGACAAAACAACCCGGGCTTAAGCCCAGTAAGCCACCCCCACGCTCCGCCCCTGATGAGCATGCAGCGTTTAAAGCTTGGAAGTACTGACCTTACTTTGAGTTTGATTCCATAAAAAGTGACAAAAACATTAGCGTCCGTTGTGCGTGGGAAGAAAACTTCTTTTTACTCCGAAAAAAACCCTAAACAAGCTCCGAGTGCGCAACGACGTAATGGGAAATTCACAGAGAAACTCGCGGATTCTTCCACTGACGCTGCGCCACACCTGCACCAGGCAACCTCCGCCTACCCCACTCCTGCTTTACAGGTGAAAATAGAGCAACAGGACTGCTAGTCTTTGATTTTATTTACTTTCTGCTGTGTTTTACTTGCATCTATTTGAAAGACTGAGTGTAAACACACAAAATATTTTATTTTATGTGCTGGAATGTGCAGAAAATAGGTTTAAATGTTAAACTAATTTCTTCAAGCCAGAGAATGGTGCATATAATTTAATTTTTTCTTGATGCATAAAGTTAAAAGATTAAAACTGATAAAACAAGTAAAAAAAAAAAAGAGACTTTTCCATTTGATTACATTTTGTATGATGGATTATGCAGAAAAAGTAGAATTGGGTTGACAGATCTATTGCTTTATCACCTATTCAGGTTGTAAATCGTGTTTTTAAAAGTAACTATGTAACTAAGTAATTACTTTTGAAAATAAGTAATCAGTAAAGTAACGGGATTACTCTTTTGGGGAAGTAATCAGTAATTAGTTACTGATTACTTTTTTCAAGTAACTTGACCAATGCTGGTTGTGAACACATCATAAATAAAATGAGGCCTGTGATGGACTGGACACTGCATGACTGAAAGCAGATATATTAACTTGTTTGGTTTGTCTTTGTTTCTTCTTCCTCCCTCCAGGCCATGGGTATGGATGTCCAGATGGTTGCAGGTAAAGGTCCAACATTTCCAGAGCCTCTGAAGGAGCCAGAGGACCTGCAGCGGCTGCAGGTCAAAGTGGACACTGACAAAGAACTGGGCTACGTCTTCAGAGCCATCACACTGACCCGACACAAAATTGAGGGCAAAGTGCCACTAATAGGATTCAGCGGGGCTCCGGTTAGGCGCGCACATGTTTAAACATTTATAGAAAATAATGCTTCCACATTCTAACAGCTCTCTGTTCATCCACAGTGGACGCTCATGTCCTACATGATAGAAGGTGGAGGCTCCAACACTCACTCTAAGGCAAAGCGCTGGCTGTATCAGCACCCCGAAGCCAGCCACATGCTGCTGAAGATGCTGACAGATGTGATCGTGGAGTATCTGCTAGGACAAGTGGCAGCTGGAGCTCAGGTCAGAATTCCTTGCTTTCTGTGTCTAAACAGACTTCCTCCATTATGTCACTTGATATAAATCTTTTTATCTTTAGCTTATTTTAGTTTCCCTTGAAAAAAAGAGAGGATGTAATAAATAAATAAATAAAAAAAAAATTCACAGGACAGAGTCAGTATAAGTCATATATGTTTGAGTCAAGGACATAAATAAATGCTGACAATCTCTACGTCAGTGCAAAATACAGCTGAGGCAGCACAAATTATTCCAGTAAGTTTACCCAATCCTGCAATTTTCAGTATTTGTACAGAACATAAACAATGGTGTGGGTGTGTGGTCCTCTCTCCCCGTGCTCCCTTATTTCCTCTTTCCCGTCACCTAGCCGATCGATCGTAGCAGATGGCTGCCCCTCCCCGGTGCCTTCGTTCTGCAAGAGGTTTCTTCCCGTTAAAAGGGAGTTCTTCCTCTCCACTGTCAACAAGTATTGGTCATAGCAGATCATATGATGGTTATTATTGCACAATCTTTGTCTTAAAATACCTTGACGGGAGTTTCTTTTTCTTGAGAACTGGTGCTGCATGAATAAAACCGGACTGAACTGACGTAACCGCACCATCTTTTAACTGTCTCATTAATCAGTATGTGTCAGCGTAATGCAGACTTGAACAAATGTGTCCAATCTGAGACAGCGACAGAGCTCCGTGTCTGTGTGCTTTCTTGAACGAAGTGCTTTTTTTTTTTTTTTTTTTTACAAAAGAAGAGAAAGTACTGAAGAAGTATGACAAGTCTATGAATGTAGCAACAAAGTCAGTTAACTGGCAACAGTGACGTAAATTGAAGTGTTGTCATCACTGCTGTGAGTGGGAGGGATGTCAGTCAGACACGCTGAGACAGAAAATGTTTCCAAGTGAAAAAAGAAAAGTGGTCAGCACGGTCGCCTTTCAGGTTTCAGGTTATTTTAATTCATATATTCTACATAATACAGCAGAAAAATACTCAAGTTGAAGGGATTTGAAGTTGTAAGTGAAATGTTAACACAAAGACAGCCCTTTTAAAGTGTTATATTTCCTTTTTTCTTTGTTTTTTATTTTATTTTTTTTAACCCCACTGCTGGGCGCTGCACCTGTGAAATCCCAGTGTTTATAACAGTGATGTCTTGGGTCACTCACAAAGTGTCACTGTCACCATTCACACAATTCTTGTGTGTTTTTCAGGCACTGCAGGTGTTTGAGTCCCACGCCGGCATTCTGGGACCTGCAGAGTTTAAAGATTTCTCGCTGCCTTACCTCCGAGACATCGCTCGCCGCGTCAAAGATAAACTGAAAGAGGCAGGACAGGATGTCCCCATGGTGAGAGGGACACCAAACTGATTCACACACAGACATTTGTCCCTCAGTGTATAATCAGAAACACATTTCCTCCATCCACACATGCGTAACACACGTGGACTTCTACACTTACACATCAGCATGAATGCACTGCAAAGAGAGTCACCTGACATGCATATCAGATGCTAAGCTTCAAACAACTAGTAGTAAAAAAAATTATGTTCATTGTTTTGTTTGTTGGGTCATTAGTAGCTGCTATATTTGTGTCAGCACTCGGCTCTATTCTTATTAGCACTGTGTTGCCTCCCTGGAGGGATCATTAAGGATTCATGCAGTGTAAGGAGAACCACTGTTCTGTTGGATCTACCTGCAGGTGGCAGCATTTCACCAACAATGGTTCCTGAAGAAGTTGATTTGAAAATCTGTTGTTGTTGTTTTTGTGTGTGTGTGTGTGTGTGTGTGTGTGTGTGTGTGTGTGTTTGTGTGTGTGTGTGTGTGTGTGTGTGTGTGTGTAGAGTTTTGCAACAAGGATGCTCACTACGCCTTAGAGGAACTGTCTCAGTCTAATTATGAAGTGGTTGGCCTGGACTGGACCATTGACCCACTATCCGCACGGTAACACAAAACGCACACTGGTTTGTCTTTGCATGCAGCACCAGACTCTGTGTTTTAATTGTAAGATTTAAACCAGCCAAACATTTTTGAACGTGAGCCTGAATAGAGAAGTAGCATACAGTGAAAAGCCCACACAGAATCTACAAATACTTGAAGCAAATGTAGGCGGTCATAGCAGTGATGTTGGGTGTGATGTTGGCCATTGCTGACCTCTCTCTTGTTGCTGGGCTGATCTATTCATCAAATGCTTAAACCGCTGGTTGAAGGATTAACTCGTGTGTCCTCTGATGTGTATGTTTGTGAATTCAGGGAACGCACAGGAGGGAAGGTCAGCCTGCAAGGAAACATGGACCCCTGTGCTCTGTATGCTCCAAAGGTAACTTCCAATTTCACTGTGCTTTAAACCGACACATAGAAATCTGAAACTCATACTTAGGTAATTCTCATAAAAGTGACTTTCATAGTTTTTCATATTTAAGAAAACTTCATTTTGACCTTTGATTTTTGCCATTTGCTGTTAATGACTTTAACCTGCTAATCTGGAAAGATTTTGTCTTTGAAGTTTTCCATCTTTTGTGTTTTTTAAATGATACAACTTTAGTCTGACCCCAGACTGACATCCCCGGGTTGTTGGCTGTGGTGCTATCCACGTCAGCTGCTGTGGTCACAGAAACATCAGACTGCTTTGGCAATTGGATTATTGTCATCCCTGCAAACATCTGATTTTCTGCTCAGTGTGGTGCACAAGATGACACCAAACAGCACAATGAAGACTTTTCTAATAATCAGTCACCATCTGCGGTGGTGATTAAAGAAAATAATCAGCTTGATATATCCTTGTTAATTTAGCAGATCATCGTTGAATGTGTGATTTAAGAGCTTTTAATCACTATTTATATATATATAAAAAAAAAAAAAAAAAAACTTGGAGGAGTATGAGCCGTTTCATTGAAGTCTATGGGTAACAACACAAACCTGTAATCTGCAGTGATAATCATAGGAACAAATTTTAATTGACTTATTTATACTTTGTTAAATAAGCACAGAAACTCCAAATGTATCAACATTATAGCTGCTAATTTTTTAATGTTTGTTTGAACAAACTGAAAAAAAGCCAAATTAATTGCAACCCTGAAAAGTCCAGATTCCTGCACCCTGTATCGTTACACCTGCCAAACATTTAAATGGTTATCTTCTGTTTTTTTCCCCCCTCTAAACTGTAAATAAGGAGGCTCAAACTTTGTATTGTTGGCCACATAGAGCCCACTTTGAGCTTGAGTGGGTCAGACCAGCCAAAGTCCCGTTTCTGTCATTGTAGAGACGTTTGACTACACATTGACTCTGTCAGATATCCTAATATTAAAAAAAGAACAAGTCTATAAACACAGATGTTCTCTAAATGAACTTATAGGATATGATCGCTGGAAGAAAAGCTCTCCAGTCTCCTGGCAAAGCGATGACCTGAAACGTCTTTCTCTTGATTGTGGTGGCCGCAGACAATCTGCTGAGATTAGCTTGCACTCCTTGTCCTGATTCCCTCATTATCATTCAGTGAGCATGTTCCCTCACATTTGCGCTAATTTCATCTAAAATGACACTGCACCACCTCTCTCACACACTCTGCCTCTCACACGGCTTCACCCTTCAGCTCACCTGTGCACTGTGATCTGGCGTATGTGTCACATCGTGTCGCTGATGGCGAGCACAAACAGTTTTGCCTTCATTGTAGGCGATGATGTCTGCATTTAACTTCGGCCACCTGCTGTTGCCGTTGAGCGTCCCAGTTAAAATCAGTTTTACTGCGTGAGAATGCGTTTTGCCGAAAGAGCGTTATGTTTGATCATTTCTTTGTGACGGTGACTGACGTGAACCTGCTCTCTTTCTCTTCAGGAGCGCATTTCAGACATCGTGAAGAAGATGTTGGAGGGTTTCGGCACAAGGGGCTACATCGCCAACCTCGGCCACGGCGTTTACCCCGACATGGAGCCGGAGAACATAGGTGCCTTCGTCGAAGCTGTGCACCAGCACTCGAAACAGATGATCAAACAGATATGAAGATAAATGTGTATGAAGAACCAAACCTGGCCTTATGATGGTGATGCAAGAAAAATGTATAATGAGGCATTATTTTATTAAAAGCTCTAAACAGTAGTAGATGTGTCCATTTGAATATAAACAGAAAAATCCTAAAATAAATTACTTGTTTTTCAACACATGAAACGCAGAGAATGCTTTTCCTGTTATTTTCAGAATGAGGCTGATTTTCAACAAAGGAGGAGAAAAAATAACGTGAGGATATTAATTTAAGATGGAAAAAAACCAGATCAGCATGTACTGTACATTCTCATCTGCCACAGCTCTCCACAACAAACATGTTCATTTTTTTTGTTATTATTTTGAAGACCAGATTTTCTCTTCAGCTGTAATATGTTTTTTTTTTTTTTTTTTTTTTTTTTTGAGCAGGACTGGATTATGTGTTTGGACTGAAAAGGACAGTACATGTACGCTGCAGTTTAACTGAATGAGATTGTGTTTGTATTAATATTAGATCTAAAAGGTCTAAAGAGCTTTGACTAGTGGTGTGTACTATGAAGCGTTTTGATGTTTTTATTCTTTAAATCCAATCACAATCCTGTAAAATATCCCTGTGGCGCTTTCAAAAAAAGGAGACGCATTTCTGCATCTGTAAACATCTTTAGTCCAAGCAGAGCTCTTCATCAGTACAAGGAGTTTCATTCTCAAAGGCTGCCAAAGTAAAAAAAAACAAACAAAACATAAAAGATCCAAACTGCTGTAAAAACAAAAACGGGTGATTTGGCAGAGTTTCATCAAGGGACACTCTGCTGCAGTTATAAAATCAATTTTTAAAGGAAAAATGTCAGCACCCAGCAGTTGATCATTCCTCCATCTAACATCTTAACTGTGAACAAATCTCCTGCTGGATCTCAGCAGGAAGAGTTTTATTTTTACTCCTGCTGATAGACGATCTTTTAACAAATGCGCGCTATACACGAAGACACTGCTTTGCTCTGATTTTCACCCTAAATCTGAATTTTGTGTAGAAAATCTGGTTTATTAGGAGAAGCAGTCTCTTTTTTCCCTCCCATTCATCATTAGATAAAGATTTAATCTGAATTTATATTCTATTATGTTTTTAGATTTCCGTTACACGAGAAATATCCAACCCATAGCCACTCAGCCTGTCTTTGACAACCACTACATGCCCATCTCAAGATGAATTGTACTTACTTTGATGAGCCCTTAAAAACGGTACTCCTGACCAAATGAATATAAATATGTTTTGCACACAGCAGTCTGTGGTGAGGGCTTTCTCTTGCACTGGCAGGATGTTGTTACAGTTTTTCTTGAGAATGTAGCACCAGTAAAGTCAAGTCTAGGTATAGTCAGCTGATCATGGGTCAGCAACTCAAAGCTTTTATGCAAGAAGACATGGTCACGACAGCCTGCTGAACTTCAAACTGAGGATCAGAATGGGGAAGAAAGATGACTGAATGTGGGATAGTTGATGCAGAATAGGCTGGTTTGTGGTTTTCTCTGTATTAGTGTAGGATCTTTACCTTACAATATAAACTGCCTCGGGGCAACTGCTGATGGGATTTGGCGCTATATAAATTGAACTGAACTGAATGATCTTAGAAAATACTGAAATATTTCATTTTCTGTGTAATGTACAGGGTGGGCCATTTATATGGATACACCGTTATAACATGGGAATGGTTGGTGATATTAAAGTCCTGTTTGTGGCACATTAGTATATGTGAGGGGGCAAACTCCTCAAGATGGGTGGTGACCATGGTGGCCATTTAGAAGTCGGCCATCTTGGATACAACCTTTGTTTTTTCAATAGGAAGAGGGCCATGTGACACATCAAACTTATTGGTAATGTCACAAGAAAAACAATGGTGTGCTTGGTTTCAACGTAACTTTATTCTTTCATGAGTTATTTACAAGTTTCTGACCACTTATAAAATGTGTTCAATGTGCTGCCCATTGTGTTGGATTGTCAATGCAACCCTCTTCTCCCACTCTTCACACACTGATAGCAACACCGCAGGAGAAATGCCAGCACAGGCATCCAGTATCCGTAGTTTCAGGTGCTGCACATCTCGTATCTTCACACCATAGACAATTGCCTTCAGATGACCCCAAAGATAAAAGTCTAAGGGGGTCAGATCGGGAGACCTTGGGGGCCATTCAACTGGCCCACGACGACCAATCCACTTTCCAGGAAACTGTTCATCTAGGAATGCTCGGACCTGGCACCCATAATGTGGTGGTGCACCATCTTGCTGGAAAAACTCAGGGAACGTGCCAGCTTCAGTGCATAAAGAGGGAAACACATCATCATGTAGCAATTTCAAATATCCAGTGGCCTTGAGGTTTCCATTGATGAAGAATGGACCCACTATCGTTGTACCCCATATACCACACCAAACCATCACTTTTGTTGTTCCAACAGTCTTGGAGGGATCCATCCAATGTGGGTTAGTGTCAGACCAATAGCGGTGGTTTTGTTTGTTAACTTCACCATTCACATAAAAGTTTGCCTCATCACTGAACAAAATCTTCTGCGTGAACTGAGGGTCCTGTTCCAATTTTTGTTTTGCCCATTCTGCAAATTCTGTGCGCCGATCTGGGTCATCCTCGTTGAGATGCTGCAGTAGCTGGAGTTTGTAAGGGTGCCATTTGTGAGTAGCTAATATCCGCCGAAGGGATGTTCGACTAATGCCACTCTCCAGTGACATGCGGCGAGTGCTACGCTGTGGGCTCTTGCTGAATGAAGCTAGGACAGCCACTGATGTTTCTTCATTAGTGACAGTTTTCTTGTCCACATTTTGGCAAATCCAACACTGAACCAGTTTCACGAAACTTAGCAAGCAGTTTGCTGACTGTAGCATGGGAGATGGGTGGTCTCGTAGGGTGTCTTGCATTGAAATCTGCTGCAATGACCCGGTTACTGCGTTCACCAGATATCAACACAATTTCGATCCGCTCCTCACGTGTTAACCTCTTCGACATGTCAATGGCTGTGAACAAAGAGAAACTTGTAAATAACTCATGAAAGAATAAAGTTACGTTGAAACCAAGCACACCATTGTTTTTCTTGTGACATTACCAATAAGTTTGATGTGTCACATGGCCCTCTTCCTATTGAAAAAACAAAAGTTGTATCCAAGATGGCCGACTTCTAAATGGCCACCATGGTCACCACCCATCTTGAGGAGTTTGCCCCCTCACATATACTAATGTGCCACAAACAGGACTCCAACCATTCCCATGTTATTACGGTGTATCCATATAAATGGCCCACCCTGTAGATACAATATATGAGCACTTCGTTTTTAAAATTAAATCATTAAAAGATAAAAACCTTTTTTTCAGATGCACAAGTACACACACACACACACACACACACAAACACAAACAGCATCATATAGCCTATTGCTCTATTGTCATCAAAATCAAAACTGGCCATTTAGTTGTCTAAGAATATTTCAACAACCACTTATACACCTTATGTTTGCAGTGATGACGTACACAGACAGCGATTCAAGGCTGAGGTCTGAGTTGGAAAATGGGACAAAGACGTCCCAGTGACTGGTTCTTTAACTGGGACAAAAGTGAGACAGTGTCCTGCCTGAAGGTTTGGAAACAAGTTTTTATGACAGTCAGGAGTCCTTTGAGAAAAGCTTTGTAATGAACATCTTTATAAATAAACAGCTTAAACAGTACAGAACAGTGTGGCCTCTAGAACACAGTAAACTGAATTAGTGAGCTTCTAAAGAAAAAAAGTTCCACTGAACACATCGTGAGTTTTGACCTGTCTGAGTTTTCCACTCAGTTCCAGTGGGCCCGGTTAACAGCTTGACCCTGATGAAATCTTCTGACAGTGTTCTGACAACATGTTACAGTTTCTCAGAGTTGGCGTCTTTTGGAGTTTCTGCAATTTGTGAAGTTAAATCCAAGTGATAACCAGCACAGCTGAGTGTTGTTTTTCAAAAGGCCCGAGACAAGTCCAGCTGCCTGTGTCTGCTCTCCAAATGTGACCTAAATGTCTGCTCATCTTAGACTGCAAATGAGCGATGGAAGGAAAACCATCAAAATAAATATGCCGAGTGTCATAAAGGGAAAACCTCTCGGATGGCCACGGTGTTCAGCTGGCAGGAATGTGTGCCCATGTGTTGTGCCCTTATACCTTATGGATGCAGCGTGCTAACCAACCTTGCTAACATTAGCAAATAACTTAGCACTCCACAGCCACTGGTCTGGCTAGGGATGTTTGATTTGTCTAAATGTCCCTTAGCAAGTTGCACCTTCACTAGATGCTTTTGGTAGTTCTCAAAAAGCTTATGGCATAATTCTCACTGAGTTTTTGACCACTCTTCTTGTAAAAATTAGTAGAGTTCATTTAAAAATAGCTTGGTTTTCTGGCACATACCTGGCTTTAAAGCATACTCAATAAAGTAGGGGCAATGTCAGGGCTTTAGTAAGGCGTAACGTTAGCCTGCTTTGTCCATTTCAAAACCAGTTTGATGTGTGTTTTGGATTATTTAGCTGCTGGATCACCTGGGTCTAAACTAAACTGTAACTGTTGATTTGAAGTTAAAGAGTTTGGTGGTAGTCCTCTGTAATTGTTCTAGCTATTTTACACCACAACCACTGGAAGCACAAAAACCCCAGAGCATGATGCTACCACCACCATGCTTGATAGCTGGTACAGTGATTTGAACGGCTCACTTTTACTCCTCCAAACCAAATAGATGACCAAATGCTGGATGTCTCTGTCATGAAGTTGACTACATTTTTACAGAAAAAACACTGCCATGAAAAATTACATCTCTCAACAGTTAACGATCATACCTTTAATGAAGCTTCATCCTCTGTTAATAGAACTACAGGAAGTCCAGAGAACTGTTAGGAATCTTTTAGCTGAACCGGCTTAGGCTTATTTCATTCCAGGTTCCAGCGACAGGCAGTGGTGTTAAAGCCAAGCGTTATCTCCACCAATCAGGTGTCATCCCTCTGAACTGTTTCCAGCTCAGCTGCCAAACAGGCGCTTTACTAAAAAAGAAAAAAGAAAAAAGAAAAAAAGCTAAGCATTTCCTAGTATCCAATCACAATCTTCAAGG